CAGACCAGTGACGTCGTTTCCTCTCTTTACTGCTTGCATCAACAGTTCTTCTACAGTGGATTCGTGAGCAAGTGTTCGTGCTGTATAGTACAGATTTTCATTTTAATCCGTTTCACTTTTGGCAGATTAGTTTGGCCAAGAGTTAAGTACCGCAAAAATATTGCATGTTCATAGCAAAATTACATGTTCGGCATGATCCTAACGCCTCATGAAGTGCGCAAAAAGGAGCAGTACGGCAAAAGTTCGAAAATTTAATGAGTGGACCATAAAGTTCTGTTTTGAAAATCAAAATAGCGTCGATCAAGACCAAATAAGTTTTTCCTTCAACTTCTTCTTCAATAAAGGTTCAACAATCCATTCAATGGAACGCAGACGTTCGACGAACGTTGATCAAAAGTTCAATTTTTTTCTACTCAGGCTGCAAAGCTTCAAGCATTCAGAAATTCATGCTGACATAAAAGTATAAAGAATGCGCTTCTCAAGCTGGCTTACGTAAGATCACCTGTATCACCTGTCGCCCCGCTGATCTTCGAGCAAATCGAGCAGGTACCAGAAAACTTCCATTTTTCCCTATAGCGTGCAAGAGCAGCCCAGTGGGTCCTCCTCGCTTTAGGGATTCGCTGAGCATCATATCTTTCTCCTATAGCTTTCGTGAAGAAATCGGACCTACGGGTCAGTGGTCTTCCTGTAGTGCGCTTGATGTCCCGAGGAATCCAGTCGGTAACGGCTCTCGTCCGTCGGTTGTCGTTGAAGCGCATCATGTGTCCGGCCCACCTTATTTTCGATATCTTAGCCTGTAGAACGGCGTCTTTGATTTTCGATCGTTAACGTAGATAGGAACTTCGGATCCTTTCTCTCATTCGCGAGATACGAGATACTCCTAGCATCGACCTTACGACTGCGCGTTCGATCACGCCAAGTGATTTTTCATCCTGCTTACGTAGCAACCAGGTTTCTGTTGCACCCTTTAGGGTAGGGATAATTGTCGAGTCGAGAGGGTGGGCACGGAGTCGGATGTTCTTTGTCCTCTCCACTACATTTTCAATGCTCTTAAACGCTCCTGAGCCGCTCGTTTCCTCCTGCTCAACTCTGCAGCTAGGTCGTTCATCATGTTGATTTTACGACCTAGGTAGACGTAACTGGAGCATTCGAAGATTGTCGTTCCGTTGAGCGTGAATGGGGCATTCGAAATCCATCTGTTCCTTATGAACATTGTTTTCGTTGGATTTAGTTGAAGACCAATCTTTCCACAGCTGCATACGTGAGCGCAGGGATAATCATCGAGTGGAAAATGTGGGCACTGAGTCGGCAGTTCTAAGTCCTCTTCTACATCTTCGATGCTCTTAAACGTTCCCCGAGCCGCTCGTTTCCCCCCGCTCAACTTTGGAGCTAGGTCTATCATCACGTTGATTTCACGACCTAGATAGGCGTAACTGGAGCATTCGGAGATTTTCGTTCCGTTGAGCGTGAATGGGGCTCAAAACCCATCCGTTCCTCATGAACATCTTTCGTTAGATTTAGTTGAAGACCTAGCTTTCCACAGGCGTTATCAAAATCGGTCAACATTCGTTCTGCTTGGATGATGTTTAGTGTTATGAGAACGATATCGTCAGCAAAGCGAAGATGGTTTAATTGTCGACCGTCAATTTTCACTCCCATTTCGTCCCATTCTAATGTTCGCATGACGTTTTGTAGGGTGGCAGTGAATAGTTTTGGCGAGATTGTACGGCCTTGTCGAACCCCTCTTCTTACGTCAATGGTGATATTGATAATCAGTCAGAATTCTTTTCATTTGATTGCCACTTGCAGTGGCACGATGTTATAGAATGCCCAATAATGTGGATTGCTGTGCAAAAACGTTTGCGTCAGCCGGGATTTGAACTCAGATCTCTCTCCGAGAGCGAATGCTAACCGTTGCACCACCGACGCTCGCACTCTTATTTACGGCAGACAACGCGTTATAGCGTAAATAAGAGTGCTGTGCAAAACGAGCGTCGGTGGTGCAACGGTTAGCATTCGCTCCTGGAAAGAGTGAGATCTGGGTTCAAATCCCGGTTGACGCAAACGTTTTTCACAGCACTCCAGATTAATGGTGAATACTGTTGTAGAATGGAGATATTTTGGTCGTGAAATCTTTATAAAGCTTACGAAGGATCATTATGTACCGAGTAGGGACACCCTGGCTATCCAGAGCCTTTATAACCGCTTCTGTTTCCAGTGAATCAAAGGCTTTCTTCAGATCGATAAAAGTGAGACAGAGTGGTTGTTTGTACTCTAGTGAAACTTCAATGAGTTCTACGTAAGATAATAAATCGATAATGTGATATTGAAGATAAGGAGGCATGTGATTAGGACCTTATGAAGAACTGAAGAGAGATTACAAGTTCTTGCAGGTAGAAAGCTTGCTTTGAATCCGGCGCGCGAGTTTGTCAAGTTTTAACGCGTAAATTCAAATCAATCACAGATTTCGGATGATTCCTCCGCTAATTTTCGCTAGAGAGGCGAAGTAGCGAAATGGTTAGTGATGTAATGTATCAGATGGCGAGCTGATAAGTGATGCGCTGATGGCAAAACGTAATCTTTGATTCGTTCTTCTAACACCATGTGAAAACCTTCTGAAAAAGTTGAACCTAGCTCCATTGCCGACATTTCCTCTACTAAATGACTACTGAACGTCTAGTGCAAAGCTGTCTACCTTATGCGAGCAAAAAATGCACTCAGATGGGAAATGTAATCTTATTTTCGCTGCCTATGGCGCCAAGAAGGCGTCTCCACAGACCAAGTACAGCATTAGAATCGACTGCCTCATGTTATCATATGGTTACCAAAAATCTTCGAGAGAAGCGCAGCGCAGAGAAAAAGGTCTCAGAATGCTAGTGTACATGAAAGGATACACGCAGTTCGCAATCAAATATCGCACAAATAGTGTAAAAATTATACCTAAAGCACATGCTCGGTACTTGATAGGAATACCATTTGGGGCACAGGAAAAGGAATAGTACGGAGAAAAAGATCAGAACTCAATGATTGGAGCATATAGTGCTAGTTTCAAAAATTAAAGCAACAAAAACGTATCTTATACGGTATATTCAACTTCTTTGGATAGGTGATATTGGATGCTCTCAAAATTTCGATTGTTTTTCATTTGTGTGCTGTAAATCAAGCCTTCAACAAAGAAATTTGTGCTGACAATACGTGAAATAATGGGGGCGTCGTGGCCGAGTGGTTGTGATGCTCATCGCGAAGCGCGTGAGGCCGAGATCCACCACCCAACTCCCTCTGGCAGTCAGCAACAAAGCTCTATGTGACGCCACAGTCATGCTATCCTCATGATTGCAAGGAGAATCGCTCAAGCAGCACTTTACGACGTTCTATAAGAAGACGAGAAAACGAATTGAATGCTAGAACTACTGGGATTCGCATAGTAAAAAAAACTTTGTAAAGACGAATCAATAGTTTGCAATAGAAAAAAGTAGGTGGAATAATAGATCAATAGTGTGATGTTGGAGAAAAGAAAGAGATGTGATTAGGAATCAAAGAAAACTGAACAGAGATCATAAGTTCTTGCGAGTTCGCCGTTGAATTCCAAGTGGTTACCGCGTAAATTCAAATCACAAACTTCGGTTAACTCGTCCGCTATTTTCCGTTAGCGGAGCGGGTTGTCGCAGTGGCTAATGATCAACAACGTATCAGAAAGCGCATTGATAAATCTTGCGTTGGTTCGATCCCCTATCTTGCAATCAAGCAAAGAACGCCTTAGCGCGGATACATACAAGATTGCGAGAAGAATGATCCTGACAAGCATTCTACAACATTTATGAAGAAGACGAGTTCGTCGATCGACAGTTGAAGCAACACATAAATTAGTTAAAGAGCCTGTGGGGATGAATGCGAGGACACGAATCGAATGTATGAAATTATGGGATGCGCACAGTAGTTTCTGAAAGCGCGTTGTAGCAACATATGCACTTTCGTAGCTATTTTTTCATTATTTTTTTAATAAGTGACATTATAAGACAGCTCACTGTTAAGGAAAACTTAGAGGACGAAAGGATGGGAAGGACGATGGAGTCCAGGAGTGAGAGACACGTAGGTATTATGGCGACAGCTCAAGGAAGGCTAACAGTCCTTAAGCCAGCAACTGCTTCTCTGTGGTCTTTTCGTCTTTCTTTTCCATATTTCCTAATTGTCATTAGTTTTACGCTGTTTATTGACATGCGTAGCTCCATGGGGCATATCACTGCGTCGAGTACTCCGACCTAGTCTCATGTGACCTACGGTTATTTACTATACTTGTCGTTGACGTTTGTTGGTTGCAGACTCCTACCACGGATGCGAAAGTTAGAGGTGGATGCTACAGGCGACTCGCCTCCGAAAACAAGGTACCCATGCCCGCTTGGTCTAGACGCGATATGCCCAATGGTATATTCACATGTGATCACCTTCGGGATTCGTCTTTTCAAGGCGAACGTGGTGACTTTCCAGGTTCCATCTCCGGTTGCGGCTTTGCAAGTACTCTGACTGGATAAAACGCTTCTCATGATTCTGATTGCTGTGTTGCACTCCCGCTCTCATGAGTTTCATACTTGTTAACATACCAGTGCTGTGAATTGAGTTGGGATCGATAGGACCTTGATGGCTCAGCGATCATTTGTGTTACAAATTTTTGATGGGTTTTGTTATTATGTAAATGTTGTTTATTACAGGTTGTTTTCTTTTAGAGATATCGATAATAAATCAGCGTGGTAGGAAAATTTATCTTATTTAACTATCGATTACCTGATAGAATGGAATCGTGAGCAAAAATTTGACCTCAAGCTTCAGGCAGGGGTTGCACCTGCGTTTCACCCATTCCGGGAGAGCGTGCTATTACTACACTACCACACAATGGCTGTCAGCTTAACTGGGTTCATAAAGCGATATTGCTTACCCAACCAAACCTGTTATAGGTTGGTCGCTGATAGCTACATGAGAGACCTTGAAGAATGAGTGATGGCGAAACGGTGCCTCAGTGGTGTAATGGTAGCACGCACCCTTGCTATGGGTGAAACGCTGGTTTAACTCCCACCTGTTGTTTCTTGCTTACCACTCAATTTCATTAGGTCTACTGGAAACATAACACAAATGCGAAAAATGCAGTGTGAATCATATATCGATCACATCAAAGCAAGCGAGCGTTCTATACTCAAATCACTAAACGGATCGCGTGAAATAAAGAAAAAATTATTTCGTTAGCTGTGTAAGATATAGCGAGGACAATGGTGTATCGTTAGAAAGCTATGCATTGTAAAACGTCAATCGACTCATCAAAAGCAACAGTGGAAGGGTAGTGTGGAAGGCAAAATGGGACCTCTTGTGCTAATAGTAGAATATCCTGGAGAAATTCATGGAGGGATAATCGAACGTGTCCATTTGTAATGCGTGATAATTGATTCAACCGTAACCCTTTGCAACGACCGCCTCTTTGACGAATGTAATCTAGCGTCGAGAGGACAACTTTTACCTCATTACTCAGAGATGCCACCTTTCTATGGGTAATTCGAAGCACACATTGGGCTGATTGTGACTGAGGCGAAGAGGTATCGCCAGTAGAGTTTTGAGAAACGACAGGTACTGCCAGAATGAGAAGATTCGATCTCGTCGTTTTGACGACTCTAAAACTATGAGATTATTACAGTTGATGCTCCAGTAGATTCCCAGTTCTCTGGTTTCAATGTCATCTCATTGTATCGCATGTGACGACAAGAAACGGACTCAAAATATTACTGACAAATCTTTTTCCAAATAACAAAAGTTGAAAATAAAGAATTTAGCGTAGCTTTTGTTTAACTCGGTCCAATGTCAATTTGTGCGCTCGAAAACATTGACGTTTTGGGTTATTCTAGATCACTACGTTTACAGCAAGGACGGGAGAAATGCACAGCGTTACGTGGACGGTGCAGTTTGTGACATGTGATATTCTCAGAAGGTAGCCACGAGTTCTGAGCATAACTGAGGTTCCGGGTCTTCAAAATGAAACGTAGAGTAAGAACTAATAGTTGTAATGAAACAATAAACTTAGTAATCAGAATTTCAAGGTAGATTGTGCTTACAGGAAAAGGTTGGTAAAAGTCGAATGTTCAACGCTGGACAACGTCCAAATGAAGAAACTCACTCGGCTGTGCTCTTATATACACGACGCTAGATGACTATTGTGGTTGTCGAATGATAATACATATTTTTACCGGTCAACTTCCGGCCGTATTCGGCATCTTCAGCGATTAGCACAGAAAGTTATATTATACGTGAATCTGACCTGGATTGTACACAACGTCCAACATATAACCCTCATATTGCTTCATTAAATTATCATTTCCTCCGTCCCCTGAAGGAATGTCTGCGGGAGAAAAAGTGCCTAGACTACGACAAGCTAAAAAGTGTGCTGTTTATTTTGAATCTAAACTACGAAAAGGTGCTGGTTGGAGCAAAAGTGACTGTAGTTTCAGACTGGTAGTTCAAACGGATCGTAAAATAGCAGAGATAACTCGCAACGTAAACAACGCATTTGCCCTGGGAACGGGAACTACTGACGAGCGTACACTGAAGTGGTGGTCTGAAAAGTTTTGTAAAGAAGACAAAACCCTTGAATATGGAGAACGTAATGGCGGATCGTGGGAAGTTGGCAATAATTAACTGAGAGAAATCAACAAAGCTGATCCTCTCAGAAATACGAGACGCTGCAGTAGTACTGAACATCGGCCAGTCTCGCTCGTTTACTGTTTGAAATAAATTTGAAAGAAGGAAAAGGGTAGTGTGAAAAGTGATTGTGGTTCGATCACAGCCAACCGACAGCCACATGTTGCAGAGCAAACACTTCGAAAGTTGAACGAGAGTTACAAAGATTTCCCTCGTCCGTCATATCCGTCGGATCTCGCGTCTATCGACTACCACTTCTTCGAAGATCTCGATAGCACCTTGCAGAGGAAACGCGTTCACAGCCAACAGGATACAGAAAATACTTTCCAAGAGTTCGTCGTGTACAAAGGCACCGGTTTCTGCGTTGCAGAAATAAACAATTTAATCGACGTTGGCAAAAGATGTGTTTGAGCCTAGTTAGGATAATCTAAAAATTCACGCTCTGAAGCCGCCATCACTTCTGCATAAAACCAATACTTTTTTAATAACTTCATCAGAAGTAATTGGAAAAGCACCAAGCTCTTATCTCAGGCCAAGAAAATATAATCGATTGGTAATGAAGGAAAATCGATTTACAATAAGTCTAGTGAGCCGAAAGTAGATATGAATGGCAGAGGAAAGGCGAAATAAAGAGCTAAGCTGAGAAAACGTTGACAGTATGGCAGCAAGATAGCGAAAACACTAAACGATCAATGTGATGGATTTAGATGTTCGCATGTTCGCACCTAAGGATAAGTGGCACGTTTGATCTACATAGCTAATGAGTTTGAGTCCACACCGGGCGGAAGACTACACAAATCGTTTTTGGAGAATCTGCAAGAGGATTTCCGTTTTCAGTGATGTACAAAACCTTCTACTCAAAATATTCATTTGGGTACACTATGCCTCAAGACTCCAACGAATATCAACTTTGCAATAGTCTGCGAAGCAGTGACCATACTAACATAGAAATTATGAAAGCTCTAAAACTGACTATCTCCTAATCTCGGATTTAGTAATTCCTTGTTCAAAACTAAGCTTAGCACACGGGCTTTATGATAATCTTTATTCAAACAGCTAACGTCTCAGCAGTTACGTCTTCTTCAGAGCCTGGAAATATCAAATTGTGCACTACACAGTCAGTCGAACACTTCCCACTTCATTAGAAAAAAATTTTGGAAACCTAAATTTCAATCGCACCAAGCATAAAAATTGACCTTCAACATATTCACCATTTTCTATGAATCTTCCACTAAATTATTCACATGGAGACCACCGCGTAGAAATCACAGGTCCCGTAATGTACTTCTCGCATCAAAACAACTGCCCTATCACCTGAATCATCCATCACTTGTCGTCCCCTTGATCGTCGAGTGGCTCGAGCGGGTGCCAGCAACACTTCCAAATTTCCAATCGCGTGCAGAAGTAACACAGTGGGTCCTCCACGCTCCAGGGATTCGCTGAGCATCATATTTTTCTTCTATACCTTTCGTGAAGGAATTAGACCAACGGGTCGGTGGTCTTCCTATAGAGCGCTCGATGTCCCGGGGAATCCAGTCGGTAACGACTCTCGTCCATCGCTTGTCGTTGAAGCGCATCACATCCCCGGCCCTACCATATTTCCAATATCCTGGAGTGCAGAACGGTGTCTCTGACCTACAATCGTTGACGTAGGTCGGAGCTTCGGATCTTTTCTTGCACTTGCGAGATACGGGATACTCCTAGCATCGAACTTTCGACTGCACGTTCAAAAACGCCAAGTGATCTTTCATAGTGCTTACGTAGCGACCAGGTTTCTGCTGCATACGTTAGGGCAGGATAATCGTCGAGTCGAAAAGGTGGGCGCAGAGTCGGACGCTCTTTGCCCTCTCGCTACATCTTCGATGCTTTTTAACGTTCCACAAGCCTCTCGTTTCCTCCTGCTCAACTGTGGAGTTAGGTCGTTCATTATGTTGATTTCAGGACCTAGCGTTCGTTTCATTAAAATCCATCTATTCTCATGAATATCGTTTTCGTTAGATTCAATTGAAGGCCAATATTTGCACTAGCGTTGTCGAAATTGATCAACATTCGTTCCGCTTAGCTGATGGTTGGTGTTATGAGGACGACATCATCAGCAAAGGAAAACGCTTCAATTGTCGACCGTCAATTTCCACTTCCATATCGTCCCATTCTAATGTTCGCATGACGTTTTGGTGGGTGGCAGTGAATGATTTTGGCGAAATTGTATCGCCTTTCAAATCACTCTCCGTCGATGGTAATACTGTTGTAGAATGGCGATATTTTGGTTGCAAAATTTTTAAATAGCTCACGAAGGATTGTTATGTAGCGAGTAGGGACGCTCTGGTTGTCCAGAGCCTCTACAACCGCTTCTGTTTCCACTAAATCAAAGACTTTCTTCAAATCGATGAAAGTGAGGCAGAGCGGTATTTTGTATTCTCGTGAAACTTCAATAAATCTTGTGATCGTGCGGACTCTGTGGTATTAAATCCTTTTCGGTACTCTGAAAATTCGCATAGCTGCTCTTCGTCTAGTGTTCTGTCGAACCTGTTTAGGATTATGAAGAGTTTATAGACAACGGACAGCAAGCAGACTGGGCGATAATTGCTATGTCGTGAAAGTCTTCCTTTCTGAACAACAACACGGTATTGTTGGTTTTCCACTGATTGGGGAACCTCACATCCTGATAGATAACGAGTGAAGAACTGAGCCAGGGTGCTGATGAGAACTGGCGGTAGATTTCACAGGCGCTTAGGTCTAATCCTGCTTGGACCAGGTGTCATTCTGTTCTTCACCAAGGGTATAGCATATCGGAATTCGGAAAGTGTGACCGGTGGAACGACAGATTCATCTTCTTTCAACTTACATGCCCATAAGAGGACATGGCTATTGAAGAGATATGAATAGTAATCCTAAATGATTCTCTCCATAGCCTTTCTAGAGGCTGTAAGTGTCCCGTCAGGGTGTCGGAGTGCAACTATTTTGGTTTTGTAATTGGCGAAGCTTCTCTGGGCTTTGCGAATGCTCTTCTTAGCTTCTGCAGCTTCTGCCATAAGTGCTGCTTGTCCTTCTTTGAGGTCTTGTTTTATCGCTTTTTTGCAACGTTTCGCAAATTCGAACGTAAGATTTCTGTTGCCTAAAGCTCGTGCGATCCCACGGTGACGTATCAACTCGAGTGTTTGCGAGAACAAGCGTCTCTTCGCCACTTTGAAACTCTCACCTTTCATAGCGCTTACGAGCAAATGTTCGATGAGCTATGAACAGAGAAAGATGCTGACCATTGCATAACAATACAAGATACAATTTCCTCTTTTTTATTACAACTGCTAGGGACTGAAAACACCATGTCGTTACTAGAAGTGCTGAGGAGAGAGAATATTACCTTAGCGCAACGCAAAAGGCATTCTAATACACGTAATGAA